TTTTTTATCACAATGAAGTACTATTTAAAGCTATTAACACTTAATTTGAATTCAAATTGATGTAATCGTCATTTGAGAAGATGTTTTTCTAAGCAACATTTGGCTTAGTTGTGTTTGCTCACATTATGTGGTTGAAGTTCAGAGCACGTTTCTGGCTGTTTATCAGATCGCGATGTCAACAGAGTAAGTAGAATTACTTTGGCTCCTGTCCTCTCATCCTCTACCAAAACGTGAGGGTCCATAAAAATGTCAGATGAACATGTAGACAACCTAACAGCAGTTTATCACTAAGACGTCAAGAACATTTGGGATTACAAGTATTCCAAGTATACCCAAAGTACGCCCATCATACACACACATACACACTTGGTCAAAGCAAAGCAGTGCAGTGGCAAATCCTTGCTTTTTTAAAAATACATTGAAAAAGAAATTCTAGTGCACAGGTCAAAAATAGAAAAGGAAACAATAAATCATTTGTACCTCATTGTACTTGGGTCACTACAGAATCGTTCTGACTGTTTGAGCACCTGTTTTCAAGATATCCAATTCAGCTTTACCATTTTGGATTATTATTGATAATCTCTTGTGCAGTTTGCAGAGGGCAGAGGTTTGCTTTTAGTCCTGGTCCACTCTAAAACTAGGTCACTGCTTTAATCTCCCCATGTATACTGTAGGTTAACAGCCCTTCATTCTCATAAACCTCTGAGAGTGCTTGCAGAGTGAATACAGAGTCATGAATCATGCACAATCCTAAAAGATATGACACATGACTTCTGCAGGAATCATTGTGGACTGAAATGACCACAAAGATTCCTGCAGGAGCAGCAGCAGCAGCAGCAGCAGCCTTCCACTGAGGTGTTACAAAACTTTTGGAACAAGACAGTCCCTGTGTAATAGAGGTTTCAGCAGAGTTTGTCACTCAGCAACTTGCATTACACAACAGGAATTTGCTGCAACGATGAAAGAACGCCATGCAAAACACATTACAATTCAATTAAAATGATGTTATATGAATGAAACCAAATCACAGATTCACTGAACCTTCCACAAAATACATATCATATTCACTCTAGTATATTGAACAATTCACCTAAAAGAAGCCTAACTTCTAGAAAGTTATCATTAAACACAATTCACTGAATTGTCTTCATTTTATTTGACATCAATTCTGTATTAAAATGGGAAAACAGAAGTGCATCAAATGCACCCTGCAGTTGAATTTCTAAATAAACCAATGGATGGCTGAGTGAACATCATGTTGGCCACAGAAGCTTGTGCAAATTAAAACGTGCTGTTCGGCTGACACTCCTTCTCTGCAGTCTTTTACACTACTGCCTCCAAGTGGCAAAACACTGGTGGTGGATGAACATGACTTTGGTTTGTTGGAGAAACATTTATATTTATTTTGAATATGGTGATACTGGTGATTATCACTCTGTTTATTTTATGTTTCCCAGTAAGATGAAAGTGTGACACAGTAACTGAAACAGCTAAATTGCACTGTTGTACGTGCTGCACCTTTCATCTTGCACCTTTTGGCAACTTACACTGTTTCATTTTACTTGTGTTTACTTTCTTTCTTCTGTGTTTGTATAAAAAACCCCAAAAAGGACATCTAGATTTTTCTTCTTGATTTTTGTTCTGATTTATAAAAGTCGGATCAATGCTGCTGTAACAATAAAAGCTGCATGTTCACTGTTTTAATGTTGGTGACAATGTTGAACATTGACAGTAAAGGATTCTGATTCTGATAAATGAAATTCAGGACAGGTCAACTCAGCAATGCAATACGAACCATGTCATAT